CGGGAATTAAATATGCTCTGCTTCACTCTTTCCAACAATACTCAACCTCATTCCCCGGTTTCACTTTCGTATTCGCTGTCCTTTTCAGGTTATTAATCTCTCTCTCTCTCTCTCTCTCTCTCTCTCTCTCTCTCTCTCTCTCTCTCTCTCTCTCTCTCTCTCTCTCTGATATTAAATTTATGAACTAACTGTGATGACTGATTATCAGGATGGAAAAGTTTAATTACACAAGTGCAACTAGTATAGCTAAATCTATTGGAACTCTAGTATCGGTTATTGGTGCACTTATCGTAACTCTATACCAAGGCCCTTCGATTCTTGGAATTTCATCACATTCGGACGAAACTCTAACGAGTTCATCAGCTTGGCTTATCGGTGGATTGCTTCTCACTATCGACAGTTTGGTGGCCTCCATATTTATCATTGCACAGGTACTGTATACAATTTAACTGGAGTGGAATTTCCTTACAGTCTTGAATCGTAAAACAAGTGACTGTAAAATATATATGTGTGTATGTAAATTTCCAGGCAATAGTGCTGAAGAAATGCCCAGCAGAGCTTGTTCTAATGCTATTCTACAGCTGCTTCGTCGCCATTTTATCAGCAGCAGCCTCTTTTATTGTCGAAAAAGACCTTAATGCCTGGAGCCTCAAGCATAGGATGAGGTTTATCCCTGTTATCTACTCGGTAAGAGATGATTTTATTTATTTTCATGATTTAAAAATACTATATGTTCTTAAGATAACGTCGCCGTTTTTTTTTATGCGGGTTTTTTTATTTTTGGATAAAAATGCAGGCGCTTTTCGGGAATGTATTCCAAGTATCGATTATAATGTGGTGTGTGAGAAGAAAGGGGCCTCTGTTTGCATCGGTATTCCATCCTTTAGGAGTCATTTTTGCCACTACGATGGGCATCGTCATTTTGGGAGAGGCCTTCTATCTCGGAAGGTATTTATTATGTCCGTAACTCGAAATAAGACAGCGTATTTTATTTTCTTTCCACAAACAGATAATCATTGTTCAATGATAATCGGCAGTGTTGGGAAAATGAAGGGGTAACTTGTTTAATTTGAATAATATGTGACAGCTTGCTCGGGTCGATAGTGGTCGTGATCGGGTTTTATTTCGTAATGTGGGGAAAAGCTAAGGAAGCAGAGACGATTGACGACGATGGATTGAAAGGCTTCGAGTCGAGAAATGAGAAGAAGATGCCTCTGTTGCTAAACAACACTGCTGAGAATGGCGTAGTTTAGTGGTGACAAACATGAAGTATTGCAAGTTGCAACACTTACCGTATTTCGCTCTTCTTTATTTGGCTGCTGTTTAATCTAGTGTTGTCATGGTAAACTAGGGTTGGCAATTTGGGATACGGTTCCATGGATCCGATCAAATTCGGTTCGATCCATATGTATCCGGTTAGCATTAAATCTAGTTAGAAATAAATCGGATCGGATCACATATGGATCCAATTCGTAAATTACAGAACTTGACAAAGTTTGTAAATTACAGATGCCACTATTAGTTACTTTTATTTTGCAAATATCTCGAGAGTTAGAGAGATAAAGCAATTTCAAATACGTGAGATGAGTGACAAATATCCAGGATCCAACACAAACTCTATGTTACAAATAAGCATTATGAAATCAAATACAAATGTTGTATAACAAATCTATACCTTACAAAACTACAAATCTAAACTCAGCAACACGGGAAAATCGACACAACAGCTCCTCGTATGCGTGCCTCAAAACGAGAAAAAAAATTGATTTAAACAATAGCTTACAGAAAATTTTAACATTTTCTTATAATGATGTACATAAACTGCTCTTTTAAGGGAGAAACGAAGAGTAAGAGGCACATGCAAATGGTACTGGCTCGAGCCACTCAAATTCTAATCACGACGTCACATCACCAAAACAATTATCATTAAAAAAAAAAAAAGTTCACCTGAAACTGCAATAAACAAGAAGATGCTTCTCTGTCACCAGAATAACAAAAGCTCTTGCGCAATCGAGATTAGATCAACTTCACAAACCACGAGGGAAGTTACTGATTTGCCCTTCCTCCAAAACATCTTTGTTGTTCGCCTGATAGCTTATTCTCATCCGCATAACCAGGGATTTCTGAAAGACACATCATAATCATAAAATGCACATTAACTGACGAAATATATACGAGTACATGTTCGATTATAAAATTGCGTCTATACAAACATACTTCCAGTGGGGGTGGGCCGTGGAGGTGTACCAGAAACGAGTGCAAATAAATATATATCTATACTCATTGACCTATCAATTCTAAATATTGTATCCATCCTAGTCCCGTGTGTTGAAATCTTGGTTTCTAATTTACGTGATTAATATGCTACAATTCCTAAAATGTTGCTTGCTTTGATCTGAATTGGAAGAATATTACCAAAAAAAAAAAAAAAAAAAAAAAACGCATGCGCACAAAAATTCTATTACCTTGCCGTGCTGGCTGTTTGAAACTCGTAGCTTTTGCGAGATTGATCCATTACCGCTTGCTGGAAGTGTATTACTGCTAGCTGGATCCAAGTGCAGTTGAAGAAACTGTGGATTGGATACATAAAATTTATATAAATCAACATGGATAAAAGCCCATTCTAAGAAACAACAAAAGTATTATGTAGCAAATTCTACACTCATATATAAAACAACAGCTGCTTTGCAATAAAAGGAAACCCTCAGGAGAGCACAATCAACAAAGACGAAGAAACTTGACTTAAAACCGTTACATGATAAATTTTCAACAGCAGTGAATAAAAGCAAGGACTTACTTTTCTAATTCTCATTTTAATTAGTCAGAGATTGTTGTTAACATATGCAAAAGGGTACATATATCAATATTTAGTAGTCAGCACTCCAGCTCGTGCAAAGAGAGAAAAATAAATGCTACTGTGAGCAGATAAAGACAGTGAATTACCTTCGGAACAGCGGCCTGGAATACAAAATTGGAGTAGATATCAGGCGACTTGTTCGAAAATTGAGCCTCGATCAGAGTAATCTGTGGATTTCCAGGTTCCTTTGAGAACTTGAAAGTTAATTGTAGGGTGCTGCTCTCAAATGCAACAATTGACGGATGGGTTGTGCCATTGGTTTCTGCATTTGAAAGCAATTATGTCAAATTACTAGGACAGATTAATTATGAAAAGTAGATCGAGTGATGGGATAAACGATACCAGGTGTTGATGAGGTGGGTCCAAAACCATCCAACAAATCCATCATTGAAGAACTTGCAATTGGGGAAGATGCTTGTACTGAAGGTGCAGAAGGGGATGTTAATTTGTCCAAAATACCCTCTGAACTTTTATTATCTTGACCAAGTGAAAACATGTCAGCCATGGTCGAGTTACTTTGAGCTGGAGGAGTTCCAATTGACAAAAGGTCCAGCAAGACGTCTGTTCCGTTCTTTTGGGTCTGATTAGTCTCTGCATATTAGAGGCAAAAACAAAGTGCTTATTAGATACTAAATTTGATTATAAATGTCTGCTTATTAGCTGTCCAAAGGAAACTGATTGCTTATACTAGAATGTGCCTCTTAAAACTCGTCAACTTTTGGAACTGTTCAACAGAGAAAAGTAATAAACCACTTTCTGAGGGAGTACGTTTCAAAGAAGTTTTGACAAATATAAACTGCCACAAATCCAAATTAATTATTGGTGTCACTTTGCATAAGAAAAAATCAACCTTTTGAAGTTGGGGACAGGTCAACCCCGAGAAGATCCTGAAGAAAATCTCCACCGGAAGGGCTGGGGGCTGGCATGTCATCTGAACTGAGATCAAGTAAATCAACAAGAGGAGCTGATGTGGGTTTTGCAAGACCATTTGGCATTTTTGGCAGACCTCCTTGTGAAGTTGAAACAACATCTGGAATGGAACCAGCCCTCCTACCATTATAAGTTGCCTCATCGAGCACTGGAATCCTTTCAACCAATGCAGATCTGAATAAAAGCATACAGTGTCATTCTAGATGTTGGAACCATGTAGTATAGAAGCAAAGAAAAGAATTTGCAAAGTTACGAATCAATGTCAAAAACCCTGTATCTTTACCTGATTTTCTCATGCTTCTCAATAATAGAATTAAATTCGATGGCTCTTTGTTGCAGCTCAAGCACAAGACTTCCCTTTTGATGAAGGATGATTTCATTTATTCTCCTGTAATTTATCAGAAGTGATTCCTAACTTGACATAGGAAGCTGAAGCAGCAAACAACAATATCTGAACAAATGCCATGACATTATCCATACGATGGGTATAAGCACATGCCAAAAATTTTAGTATCTTTTTCCACCGGTAAATTGATGCAAAAAGATATTGGTTAAAACTGAAAAAGGTTTCATATGAGACGTGCAGAAGTGTTAAACAAAACCAAAAGAAAGTAGAAATGGAATGTAACATTAGATACATATTTATGTGGTGAACATTTTCATTAGTGATTACTGTATAACCTGGCAAAACAGACATAACATGTTGAAAAAGTAAAGATAACATACTTTGCACATGAAGGATAACGACTTGATAGCTTTAATAAGGAAACCAAACACATAGCTCGAGTAGTGAGATCCCAAGAATGACGTTTAATCGCAGTTTCAACAACACCCACAGCATCGGCCTCAGTTACCTGGCTCCATTCAACAAAGTTATCGAAGTTGTATATGGAAAAAGAAAACTTTGTAGCACAATCACACGACTAATGGTACTGGTGATTTTAATAAAACAGAAAATCTCCATCGACATCCATAAAAAAATTCTGGACCACTTCAATTATAGGTACACCAATTTGATATTTAAAAAAAAAAGGTCATTATTAAAAATCTAAAAAAATACATGAACTCACAGTTATTGGGGCCTCCATGTCAAGCATACCAGCATTACCAACCAACATTTCCCCATATTCTCCAATGCACCAAACAGCAACTCGGACGAGAGATTCCTGGTGAAGATGCATAAAAAGTTAGGAAATGAATGGAAGCATACAAGAAAATTTAATCAAGTTTCTGGAAGAGTATGCCACAGTAGTATACCTGTTCACTTGATGCTTGTACAGCCTTGTATAGCGCTCTAACAGTATAACCATGGAGGTTAGAAGTATTAGTAACAACAACAATAAGGCCATGCCACACATCATCCTTCACATAATTTCCAGCCTGTTACACTATCATAACAATCAATTCTCGCTTTAAGTGAGATAAGAAAACGAGATACAACAGGAAGCTGCAGCTCTGCCTAATTTACAGAGATTTAATCATATAGGATACTATTATAGAACTCGTGAATAACGGGATAAACTATGAATGGATAATTCAAACAGCAAATTAAATCACTAACTACAGTTACATTTTTTTTATCTGTTCTGAAACTTTGCTTGGGCAGGTGATATAAACAAGCATGTGTGAAAAATAAGTAGGAAAAGACAAAGAAATAAATTTTACGCCCCACGCTAATACATGGGTATCTATGTCAATTATAAAGACAAAATTCCGCCTTACAGTAAACATATCAGTACAAATAGAAATTCCACAAAATACGAAAAATACCTCGGACAGAACTTTCACCATCTGATCAATATACCACTTTTTTTCAGGGGAAAACCTGGAGCACCACACAGCAGATGAATGAGGCTATAAAATACAGCAGTAAACTGGGAGATGCATCACAGTTCAAGTTCAACCAAGATATTTGTATGTAAAACATAGATATTGCATTTCATGCATGGACATTGAACAAATTTGAAGGAAAAAAAAAAAAGGAGAATGGGGTGGGCCCACCAATCACTTGTTTTTCAGACCCCTCATGGATGATCAGTCATTAGAGGGCATATGAATGAGTTCACAGAGCCCCAATCTCGTATGTATTTGGGGATGTGAAAATCAATCAACAATTAAGATTTCTAACAGCTTGCTAAGTGTGACACACACACACAGTTTGAGTTGCTAAACACCCACACATTGTACGCACTTAGAAAAACCTAGCCCACATGTATTATCCTATTATAAGAGTAATTAGACTGGGAAGACTAGTAATCATTATTAATGAACTTAAGATAATTTAACTTACTTCTCCAAAATTGAGCAAATTTTGGCCGTGAGGTCCTCCTTAAATTCTGGGTCACTTACTTCTAGATAGTCAATAAGCTCCTTTGTCAAAGCCTTCACATTGCTGTCATTTACAAGAAGATAAACAAGCTCCAGAGCCCTTTTACGGATTGAAGCATCTGAATCCTGGTATCAAATAAGCGTCCATAAGCAACTAAATCTATATCTTATCCAAGAATTTTAAGATAACTGGGCAAACAAACAGAGAAAAAGAAAGAAACATATAGTACAGCTGGTTTGCTCCGGAACTTTTGGGGACTGATCCTTGTTGATGTCAAATATGGAAATTAGCATAGAAACAACAAAGTGGACTTATCTGGTTTCGTTACTGAATATCTGATATCTAACCAGGACATGAAAAATACCAAAGAGCTAAAATCTTAAAGAACCCAATTCAATACTGAGGTAATTAGGTGCACAGTACTTCACAGAAATAAATATCACACTGAAACAGACAAAACCAATAGAATAGGAAAAAATTACAAAACCTAATCAATTTGAGGGAAATAGAACAGAACGCAGATACCTTTACACATTCCACAATCGTAGCACGATGCCTCTGCACCGCTTGACTATCTAATGTAATAGCTCTCATGAGCATATTCAATGCTACATATCTGGAAAAAAAACAGTTTTCAACTTTAACAGATATTTCATGATCTAAAAAAAATGAAAACCAAAACTCTTCTAAAGAACAAATAAAGTAGCATTATGAGTCTAATTGCAGAACTCTAACAGAAGAACCGGTTTTAGATTTGATCCAATTCAATAAAACCTGATAACAGATACACAAATTACATGTGAAGTTTCATTGGATATCAGAACTTCATAGTTTAATGATATAGTGATCCAATTAATGTAAAGCTTTGAAATACTTTTACTAGATCTTGTATGAAACAAATGTCTTCAATCGTGTAAATCATCAAAATAATCAAAAGGAAAAAAACCAGAAGAAACAGATTGCACTGCGACAAGTCATATAATGTGATCAAACCAAATTAATGAAAATTACCTACTATTGTTGTCACGGCTGGACAAAAACCTTCCCAAAATGTTGACAGCAAGTACCCGTAATCCACCATTATATTCAATGCTCATGATCGTAGCAACACATTCATAGAGGATGGCATTGCCTGCGTTTTTGTTTGACTCAGTTTTAGTTGCCACCTATAACATCACGAAAACAGAATAACCAACACTCAGTTGAAGTAGCTAATACCAACTTTGAAAGCATTGAATCGACAAATTCAAGGGTCAGAAACTGGTAAGAGACCGCTTGAGTTATTTATCCTCTCTCTTTGTTCTTGTTTACAGGAAGGTAGTGCACAGAATGATAGCTTACCTGGGCAAGAATATCATTCATGGTATCACTAGCATCGGCATCTCCTTGGCCCAACACATGCAAAAGCTTGATCAATCTAATATGAAGAAAAGGATCCGCGATCCCGGAAACATCATATTCAGGTGCATATGGACTGTTTGTGAGATCCTTTAGAACTTTGACCAAGCCATCTATGCATTTCTAGAAATATAAAAGAGAAAAAGGAAAGAAAATTAAAATCATTTCAAGTGTGTGGTCTCATAGTTTGCCCTGCTAGTTTCCATCCAGGAACAAATAGAACTGGCATAGCGAATTACCTTTCTAAAATATTCAAGAGCCTCTGTACTGACTTTACACATATCTGTACAAAGCTGGACTCCAGTTAATAAAACTCCATGGTGTTTTTCTTTCAGTAAGGAAGCAGCGGGATTTATGAAGTTCTCTGCCAGGTCGGGAACTTTCTTTATTATCCTTATTGTGCATAACGCTGCCTGCATTATGACACAAAAAGTAAGGTCCACCATGAGCAATGAAATGTTCCAGCGATCTTATACTCTGAGTAAGCAATTCTAAACATTCCGGAAGCAAGTGAATTGAAGGTTCAATTTCTCCCATAGCAATTATCTTTTCTACCTTCAGAGTTGGTGGTTGTCCATGGAGCATTGACAAGTCTATTAAATTACTACTAAAGATAAATTTCAGTTAATGAATAATGAATATGGCAAGTGTTTTAGGATTACTTTCAGCAGTATAAATCATTACAGTACAACACTTAATGTGTTATAAGTAGTATTCTGATAGCTAAAACACAAACTAAATGGCATAAATTAGAGGTAGCTCTACGCAAAGATATTAAAATTCACGTTATAAACATAATTAACCAGCGTTCAAGAAAATTCAGAAAACTTACTTTCTTCCTAATGTTAGGGTCCCTAAATTGAAGTAGTCTTTCAACTTCTGGAGCAAGATCACGAGCCATTTCTGCAGAACATATATTACCCAAGGCACAAAGAGCAAGTCCAACGATATATTGGTTGGTATGATTTAAGTCTCTGTACACAAGTTAAGGTAAATGAACCATAAAAATGACTTCTCTAAAACATAAAACCACAGATCTGGTAACGCTTTCATTTGTATGCTAACTCACTCTTCTTTTGCTTGATGCGGATATGGACATGCTAAAAGTTACTCATTCTAACATTATATAAAGAGAAATAAGTGTAGATGGATACTGTTTTATTGAGTTGGTAACGAGCATCAAAACTTCCTGTCTTTCATCAAGAAGCAACATAAGGCCAAGATATCCTATCCTCTTCTCTGGAAATCCTGAAGATGCAATTGACTTCAGGCATTCCATTTGACCAAAATGTGTTGGGTAACCAAGCATGTGAATGAACATGAGCTTCGCCAAATTGCGATGCATATAATCTTGGCCATTTTCACTAATTGCATCTCGAATGGAAGCGCATTCTTTTCTTATAACACCACGCTCCTCCGCAGCAGTCTTGCAGGCACGTATAGACCGAATCATGTCCCTATCAGAAAATAATAAGTTTAATTAAGTATATAACTCAATCGTAAAATATTGAATGAATAATAAGCACAAAGAAAACAGAACTGAATGTATAAGGAGGCAGATAGGCTTTAAAATTAGAACTTATTATATGTATGTTGGACAGTGTTCCCTACCCAACGACAAAAAGAGGATAGGTCCAATAACATTTATACTGCAGAAAAATCTAGGTGTAGGATTTTAGTTTCAAGTTGCAGAGTGTGGTTATTTGTAGACAAATAACACACATTTCCAGGAAACAAGAGGATACTTCAGAGGTTTGAAGGAAAATCCATCTATATATATAACAGTTCTAGAATGGAAGTAATTTCCCAGACTAACATATTAAACGCCCACCATCCAGAAGCAGTTTATATGAACAAGTAAATCAAGTAAGGGAGCATCAAAGATTTATTATGATTAGACAAGCAAATACACTTTTACTAACTCTCAACTGCGAAGGCGGAGCATTTCCTATTCTTTCCAAACTATGAAGCCTAATAAGAAATCCTATTAGTATCATCACCCATATAATGATTTAGAGGTAAATGAGTTGGTGTTCAAGAAAGGTAGATAAAATCTAGACTTCAATAACTTCTACCATGTTATGTTCTCTTAGTTGGGTATTAGGAAAGACGCATAACGCAACAAAAAAGAGAATATGGCGTACGATGCTCAGTTGTGGATGGAAGGCATATGGACACTGTTTTGGAATGCAAAAGTGAATGTAATGCCTATATGAATCCATTATTCCGATAGTCAATGGTTCCGAAATTTTTACACAGCAAAATGACATTAGTTCTTATTTCTGTTTCTTGCCCTTATGTACCAAATACAATACTTGAGGTTTTTGCTATAAATTTAAAGAACCAAATACTTTAAACAGAGTTACTAGTAGAGACTGATTATCTTCTTCACAACTTATATTTTTAGGCATAACTAAACAAAATTGTGCACTATCAATCCATCCAAAACTTTGGGATGCCAAAGAGAGCACCCCCCCAAAAAAAATGAATCAATGAGTTATAAAATTTAACAACTGCTTCATGCTTTCTAACTCCTGTTTTCCCTCGGGCTTTAGTTTAACTAGTCAAGTTTCTGAATTCTTAAGTTCCCAAACTTGGCTAAGAACTTTTTGTTTTTAATTGTTAAAATGTTTCTTTCCCTTTTGCTCAAGTATCTTTCCTTCTATTAACTATGTAGTAGATCTCTTTCAACATAAGAATAACTTCCTCCCCACTACTACTCGCTCTCACTGTCACTTCCCTTGAAATTCCGAGACAATCTATCACAGCTCCATCCTACAATCCCCCTCAACCCCCAGCTCTTTAGAGAAAGAATCACCCTGCTCTCACGTATACATTACCATACCATAAGAATTATGTCCTTTTTCACAACAACCAGAAAATACTTTTCATACGCATCAGAACATCTTTTTCCACAGTCCATCAAACATGATCCTTTTCCATACTAACTTCATTTGTTTCTCATTATGACTGAATATTGATTAATGGTCTAACATCCCCTTTTTCAATTTCTTCATAAATTAGCAGGAAATGAACTTTAACTTCACATGGATTCCGCAAAGTGGTCTATCTGCACGGATACCAACTAACTTCTCGCAGTGGTTCTTAACATAAAACACTCGATGATACCACTGATCTAA